TTCTGAGAGTTCTCGCTTTTTAACGGATATTGTGCTATCAGCCTCGAGTTCCAAAAGAAATACCTCGCTGCAATAAATTTAAAATTTCCATTAGTACTGTTTAAAAAAATTAAGTTTCATGTTTTCAAACTATTTTATCGCACCTTCAGACAGCCAAGGTTTATGGTCACTTCATGTGATTGGAAATATGCAAAACATTAGCTCGAGATGATTCTAAATGTTTTCGCTTTTTAACGGATATTGTGTTATCAGCCTCGGATTCATTCTTCTTCTTTTTCGTCTTCTTTTTCTTTTCTACCCCAGCTGTACTTTCATCTTGATTTTCACTATTTTAACCACTGATTCATCCTGAAATTCAGCTGGAGATGATTCTGAGTGTTCTCGCTTTTTAACGGATATTGTGCTATCAGCCTCGGATTCATTCTTCTCCTTTTTCTTTTTCTTTTCTACCCCAGCTGTACTTTCATCTTGATTTTCACTAGTTTCAACCACTGATTCATCCTGAACTTCAACTCGAGATGATTCTAAATGTTTTCGCTTTTTAACGGGTATTGAGTTATCAGCCTCGGATTCATTCTTCTCTTTATTTTTCTTTTTCTTTTCTACCCCAGCTGTACTTTCATCTTGATTTTCACTAGTTTTAACCGCTGATTCATCCTGAATTCAGCTGGAGATGATTCTGAGTGTTTTCGCTTTTTAACGGATATTGTGCTATCAGCCTCGGATTCATTCTTCTTCTTCTTTTTCTTTTCCACCCCAGCTGTACTTTCATCTTGATTTTCACTAGTTCCAACCACTGATTCATCCTGAACTTCAGCTGGAGATGATTTTGAGTGTTCTCGCTTTTTAACGGATATTGTGCTATCAGCCTCGAGTTCCAAAAGAAATACCTCGCTGCAATAAATTTAAAATTTCCGTTAGTACTGTTTAAAAAAATAAAGTTTCATGTTTTCAAACTATTTTATTGCACAATCAGACAGCCAAGCTTAATTGTCACTTCATGTGATCGGAAATATGCGAAACATCATTTTTGTGGAAAGAGATTGATTTAAAAATACATGTGGTTTTCAAATATTACCTTTTAGCCTGATATTTTTTGAATA